AATCAGTTTACATTCCCACTAGCAGTGTAGGAGAGCTCCAACACCTACACACCCCCAGCAATATTTGTTATGGTGTGATTTTTTAATTACCAATACCATAGTAGGTATGACACAGCTTCTCATTTCAGTTTTGGTTTGTCCTGAGATCACTTTAAAACTTAACAGATCAGCAAAAATAAAATAGGTTGGCAAAAGCCTGTCTTGCCAAGATTTTGAGAAAATGCACACTCTTGTTGGGGGTATAACTTGGTATAAATTTTACAAGAGAATTCAATATATTGAAATATAAAGTATACTTGTAAACATAGATATTTGAATTAAGGAGAAAATGATATGCTAGGAAAAAGATATGCCTTGTTTATAAAATTATAATTTAAAAAACTTTGAAACTCATTTAAATGTCTATCAAGTGGAACCTGATTTTATGAAATCTGATGCATGCATGCAATATCTAGGTCATCCATGCAGACAATGGTGCATATAGAACAGATTTTTATTGTCTTGGGAAGCTGTGTACCATGCATTGAGGGGGCCAAATCAGATTTTTGAATGCATGAGAAGATTTCATTTGTGTAAAATATTTTTAAGCCTAGGAAGATTTTTTTTTTTTGGAACGATGTCCAAAATGTAATTAGTGATTATATCCTAATGACAGAATTTTAGATGATTTTTTTTACTTTGTTCTTTGTAATTTTTTGTATATAATTTAGTTAAAAATCAGCCTCTATAATTTTTTAAGAAAAATTATAAAGCTATTTCAAAAGACCATGCCTTTTAGAAGTCACATTTCTGTACTTTATCAAGGCTTAAATTTTAGTTCTTTCCCCTATCATTACTTTTTTTTCCCCAAAATACCTCAAAACCATCTACTAAAGGCATAAAGAAGTTCATTCTTATATAGATTATATCCACTTGGTTTCTTCCTTCAGAGAATCCTATTATGAATCCTTTATGGGACTTTCTTACATGGAAATCTGCCAGGTATTATTAGGACTTGGGTGTCTTGCCAAAGCCTAGGAGTAGGTCAAATGGCTCTCCATCTGTTGACTGGGATCATTGTTTGGGATTCAGATATTCTCCCTTCCACTCTTCTTTCCTTCTTTGTAGCAGAATAACTCAAACAGCAGCCAATAACTTTCTTTGTCTTTAAGCTTATTGTGTGTTAGGAACTATTCTCAATGCATTGTGTGTATTTTATTCATTGAACTCTCACAACTGTTCTGTGAGGATGACACCATTATTGCTAAAATTCTACAGATGAGGAGTTTGAGACACAGAGAGGAGAGATAACCCAGCCACAGTCACTCAGCTAGGGAATGAATGGCAGAGCTGAGTCTAGAGCCCACTGGGTCTCCTTTGATAATACTTGTGGTCTTAACTGCTCCTCTCTGCTACCTCTGTGATTTTCCTCCTAATTGGATTGCAAACACTTCTTCCTGGTTTTTGTTGCTTCTCACCTGAGCTGCAACTTCTGGAAATTTCTGCCAGTCAAACTGAGGGAGTGAGTTCACCTGAAGGGACATTCCCTGTTTACTCTCTTAGGACTTTACTGATCATTTCTTTCATCACTTTTTCCTATGAAATGGGTAGATTTCTTACTCCTCACAGTTGGAGATTTATCTGGGGGTTGGGAGGGAATGAGGACTTTTAAAGATATTTCCATTTTCCAGAGTGCCCAGGCCTTCATGGCATCTTAACTGCTCAGTCGACCCTCTAGAGTCGAATCAGTCACCATTTTTTATATGGAGGTAAAGGCAATTGGACAGGACTGAGCATGCACTGAGCTGGGAGTGAAATCAATTCTGACTCAGTGAACTGCAACAACGTGGCATCCGACTGGTTCCACCCAAGATAGGTCCAGGTAGCCCTCAGACCTGATGACCAGCAGATCACAACTCTAGTAGTGATACATTAGGTGCCATTTTGTATGGTATGGTAAAGGCTTTAAGACTGTAGGGACAACAGTGGGCTGTACATGTGCTGAGCTGGGAGTGAACTCACTTCCAGCTTAGTGCATTGCATTAGTCCCACAGGAAAAATAATACCAACTTTGGCATTGTATAGATAAATATAGGTCTGTGTGGCCTTAGAGCTAACAGCCAATAGGTTCTGGCAAGATCAGCACCACCAACAGTCTAGTTATATAGGACCCCTGGTGTCTCCCTAAACCTGGGAACTGCTCTAACAGGAATTGGGAGAAAGGTTGTACAGACAATGGTGTAGCCTCAGCCTGGTATCACAGGAGGTAAAGAGTTGTGAGCCAGAAGCTGGGGCTATGGAGACCATGATAGAATCTAACATAAGAACCCAGACCTGGAACTTACTGGAGGGAGTGGCGCAAGAGAGTACAAACAAAGAGCTGTGTAACAACCACAATAAGTAAAATCAAATTGTAAACCTGTTGGTGACACAGCTTAGAAACCTGCCCCAAGGAGAAGAATCTGATAACCAGAAATACAATGGCCAAGAGCAAAAGAGAAGACAAAGGCACAATCAATATTACTGAAGACTCCCCTGCAAAGGAGCAAAAACCTTTGCCAACCTCAGAGTTAACTGAGGAAGACATCGAGAAAATGGGGGATACAGAATTCAAAACACTTGTTATGAAACTTCTTATCAACAACGAGAAGTATGTCACACAGGAGTTAAAGAAGTTTAAGGAATATGTCTTACAGGAAGTGAATTAAAAGAAAGCTGATATATCAGAAATGAAGAATACAGTGGAGCAAATTAAAAGTACAGTGGAGAGTCTCCAAATTAGAAAAAAAGAAGCAGATGAAAGAATCTCAAAATTAGAAGATATTTCCTGTCACCAGGGGGAAACAAACAAAAAGCTGGAAGTAGAGCTGATCAAGCTAAAAAAAAGCACTCAAGAATTAAGAAACACTATTAAATGGCCAAATGTAAGAGTTATGGGAGCCTCAGAAGGTGCAGAAAGAGAAACTGGGCTTAAAAGTGTATTTAATGAAATAATAAGGGAAAAATTCCCTACTTTAGAGAAAGAATTGGGAAACAACATCCAGGAGGGACACAGAACTCCCAACAGGCCTGACCAAAAGTGATCTTCACCACAACACATGATAATCAAGCTCTCTTCAATTGAACATAAGGAAAAGATCCTTAAATGTGCACGTGAAAAAAAATAAACTGACATATAAAGGAATGCCAATTAAACTCACAAGAGACCTCTCACAGGAAACTCTACAAGCCAGAAGAGAATGGAGTGACATATTCCAGATTCTAAAAACAAAGAATTGTTGGCCCAAAATAGCGTACCCAGCAAAGTTTTTATTTGTCTTTGAAAATGAAATAAAATTCCTCCACAGTAAAGAAAAGTTAAAAGACTATGCCTCTTCCAAACTTGCCCTGCGAATTATACTTAAAGATGTTCTCTTGGCTGAGAAGAGGAAGGCACCCACCAAAACCAAAGGCAAACGCGAAGAACATCCCAGTAAAATAGCAACAGAAGACTAAATCAATGACCAACCCATTGCTAAAATGACAGGACCAAATTACCAGCCTTTCATTTAGCCCTGAATGTAAATGACTTAAAGTCATCAATCTAGCATAATTTAGTTGAGTGGATTAAAAACAAAACCCATCTATTTGTTTCCTACAGGAGACATATCTCACCTACAAAGATCAGCAGAATCTTTATCTCATGGATTTTGATATTTTTAAATTTAGTTTCATCTCTTTAAAACTCTTTCTCTCATTAAATTCTTCACTGACTCATAGATCATACAGTAGCATAATTTTCTTCAAGAAGGTTCTTGATTTTCTTTTTCTTTTCTTCAGTGACACATTAGTCATTCAATAGCATTTTTTTCAACTTCATGGTTATTTCTTTTTTTCTTCCTGTTGTTGATTTTGTTTTGTGACTTTTCATTTAAGGGAATATACAATAGTTGTATAATGGAGACTATCATATCCAATAGTATATAATTTAACGCCATGGCATTCTAAATTTCTATTTTTCTTCCTGTTGTTGATTTTGTATTGTGGCTTTTCATTTAAGGGGATGTATAGTAAGTGTGTAATGGAGACTGTCATATCCAGATATGAGGATATAATGCATTATGCATCTCTACTTCCAGATTGAAGATGGACTCCCAAAGAAACTGTTAGCTATATCTTGATAATAGGAGGTTGTGCTCTCTGCCATTGTCCATGCCGACAGTGATGGACATATGACAGTTTATGAAGAACTGTACTATAGTAATATGATAGGGAAACTCATTGGGGAAGAGGAAACTTGGGAAGGGAGTAAGGAAAACCCCAGGGCCTATGGAACTGTATCATAAAATGATAATAATAATAATAAAGGAGAAAAGGAAGGGAATAATAATAAATATCATCATTATTATTTTCATTTATACAGTTTTGTAGGTATAAGCATTTCTCCTTCCTCTTTCCCTTCTTCCCTCCCCATTTTCTGCTCCTGCCAGACCTCCTCACCTTATCACAAAGCTATATTGTACCAGCAACAATTGTACGTCAATTTTCTGCTATTCAAGTGGCCCATGGCATTGTAGGTATAGGTAAAGGCAGACACAAATATAGGTAATGAAGAATATATATATATTCTCACAGTTGAACTCAATAATAGAGACTAGCATAACGTGAAGATACATTGCAGTATGCATCTCTACTGTCAAATAAATGAGGTCCCCCAATAAAGCAGTTAAATATGCCTTAATGTTACAATGGTTCAGCCTTTACCGTCAAATTTCAACTTTTAATATGTGTGATATTTGTTTGTCATTGAAGTTTAATAAAATTTGTATGGAATACTTTACAATTGTCCTGGAGAAAAAGGTTTTAAGTTATACTACTGTAAAACAACAATATCCCAAAAACTCATGTGTTATCATGTAAGTAGTAATAATTGTGTTAAATTTGACTTAAATTGAACTAGCTTGTATTGAACGGTATTTTAAAAAGCCATTTGTTGGGAGGATAACAGCTATAGTTACCGTGTCTCTCCTTGTGTTTTATAGGCATCTGGCCATCCGAAGAGGTTTTGGCTTACTACTGTCTGAAGCACAGTGACACATTCAGGTATTGAAAAGAGATTTTCATTGTTGTTGTTTTTACGCATCATGGATATTTAATCTGCATATTAATAGTAGCCAAGTAGCCAAGATTACATTCTGCAAATTAAAATTTGTGGAAGAAAAAAAGGAAGGAAGAAAATGAAGTTGAAAGAAAGGAAAAAAGACCAGACAGAAGGGAGAAAGTTGACAGGGAACACATGTTGCTTCTGAGAAGAAATCGGAATTGCCTTTGGGTACTAATATTGCACAGCAAGCTGTATGCCACATGTCAAAGGCTTTTGATTTCCACTCAGGGCATTTTATTTCGCTTTGATTTAGGGGAAACAAAAGTGAAGTTTCCAATCAATTCTTACTGATTGTAAAGGTCAAAAAAAAGGGGGGGACTGTGGGGGTGGGGAACTCCACAAAAACCATAAAGACATTCTTTAAACTTCTCTGGAAGTCACTATAGAATACTTGATAATACCTTCTAGCTATTATTTAAAGGTGTCATCCCAGCCCTGACTTTAAAGGTATTTTATGTACCTAACAAAGCCTGTTTGTGAAATATGAATTACTGTTTCAGATTCATGCTAAGAAAATAAGTCTTTCCAACTAGTCAGTGTACATTGTAAATCAAATCTGTGGATGGAATTTAGGAAAGAGGAAAAAAAATCCACTCCTTTTATTTAGAAACTCTGAAGATGTTTGATAGTCCCAGGAAATATAGGGGTTTTTTTCTTTTATTTCTCATTTTACAAATTATGCAGTGTGTGCTTCCTGAATAGCCTGTTATGAACCCGTACAGGCCATTAGTGATCGTGGTGTGTGTTTTTAACAGTATGTACTTACAGGATGGGTCAATAATATGTGTGTACGTGTGTGTGTGTGTGTTTTAAACTCTGTGGACCCACATTTACTGTTATATAATTGCTTTGAGCAACTAAATACTCCTTGAGTGGATTTTAAAATTAGAATGTCCTTGCTTGGCTTCTCCTCCTCCCCTTCCCTCTCCTCTCATCCCTTTTTCTGTTTTAATTTTTTTTTTTCCTTTTCCGTTTTTCCCCTCCCCTTGAGCTAATCAACTTCCCGAAGTGGTAAGAAGCAGCAAGCTGGAGGGTCTAAGCGTATACAACCACCTCAGGGCAGCTCTGAATTTGGGTGGCGGGGCTGCAAGTCTGGCATTTGCTCATCTCACCGTGCCTAAGCTCCACTGGCGCTCCAATCAGCGAGCAGGGGGGCCAGGGCGAGAATGTCGCACGTTGAGGGGCTGATATTTAGGCACAAAGGGGAGGGTAAGTGCAGAATGCCACCCCAGACTGTCAAGCTTCAGCTCTGAGCCGCTTTACTTCTGGGCGGAGAAGCCAGAACCCAGTCATTAGTGTGGCATGGGTTTGCTGGCTTAACCGTACCATGTGCCTGCATTGTTTGTCCTCTGTGTTGTGTTGGGGTCAGTTGTGATTTAAGTGTTAATTGCTAAATGCTCTTTGTGTAATTGTCCTTTATGGGGGTGGTTCAGCTTTCCAAAATGTTTCCGTTTGTTTTAGTTTATATATATATATACATATGTATAGAAAAAAACTACAGGCTCGCATTTATTTGTGTGTGTGTTCTATGGCTGTGACAATAATATAGGCATATCCACACTAATATATATTTTTCATTTACTTGTCTAACTGTTTTTGAAGGCATGAATGTGGATTAACAGTGTTATCCTTTCCTAACAATTATCTTTCGCTACTCTAGCTAGTTTAGTTCTAAAAGACAGCACCATTGACAAGAGGGAAAAAAAGGGAACCTTCTCAGGTTTTTCAGCTCAGCGGTGGTAATGCTGCAGTGAACGCTAATGAGGGAACCCCCACTGACTTGCCTGCTTTGTGACTTTTCTATTTCATAATTATTTTTAAAACGCAAAACGACATGCGGTAGCCTCATCCTGTCTCCACAACTTCCTGGTAGCGCCGTCCTCCCGCAGATGGCAATTTGTTCTTGTAACATATATATCTCCCGGACCATTTTCATCTCATTTGTATGGGTTCTACCATTTCTTTTCTCTCTTTCAGGGACCTTGCTGTGTGTGAGCTAGGGGGTGGCATGACATGCTTGGCTGGGCTCATGGTAGGTCTTTTCTCAATTCCAATCCCATTCAGAGGGAGAAACAAAAGGAAAAATGTTCCAGGGCCTCCAACTGCTGGGTCAGAGAACCGCCAGCAGCATCAGCTGCGGTCACGCTGCCAGGTCTTGAGAGACCTTCTAGATTGACTTACTTTCGGATCATATTGATTTTATGGTTGCCTCGATGAGCAGAAACATTTTACCTCCGTGTAGTCAATATCGCTTGTTGTGACATTCCAGGCCTTGCACCGTCTTTCTTCGCCATTACGAAAGCAATTTTTTTTCTTTTCTTTTTCTTTCTTTTTTTTTTTTTTTTTTGATTCTAGTCCCATTTGCTAAGATACAGGACTAGCCTGGCAAATCACAGTTGGAGCACCATGATATAGCTGCTAATGTTTTGCCTGCATTATTACACCAACAAACATGATCCAGAGCGTTCAGTAATTAGATTCTTTTGAATGAGATTGGCCATTCAGGAACGTCGTTCCCATTCTCTGGGTTCTGACTCATGTATTCAGGAGATATTATGTAGCAGCACAGTGCATTAGACAAGTTTTTATGTCTCTACAAATAAAAGCATATTGTTACCCTGATTGGCATTTGACAAACCTGTCGCTCTCATACAATGTGTCGAGGTTACAGCCCAATGTGCGAGCATGTCAAAGCTCACAAAAAAATTACCCTCACAAAGCCATCTGCCTGCAATGCAAAGTTATATGAAGGGCATCAGGCAGTCAGACAGACGCAAGCTGAAAGGCAGAGTGACAGCCTTGTATGATGGCTCTACTAGATAAACAGAAGCCCGCAAATGAAAGGCTCTCAGAATACCATCATCCGCTGTCACAATGCAATTACCGAACAGAATGATAGCAAGATAGAGGCTCCCGCAAATGGAATGATAAAAGTATTGACTGATTTGATTGAATGATTAAAATAATGCAGACATAAAATGAAAAAAGATTGGAGATTGTTACAGAGAAATAGGTGAGGAAGCATGATACTGAAGGCTTGTCACTCCTGTCTTCACTTCCACACAGACAAGCATATTTGCTCATTGTTTGCTGTGCTCCTTTTTTTTTTTTCTTCCAGGTTGCTATTTCTGCAGATGTCAAAGAAGTTCTGTTAACTGATGGGAATGAAAAGGCCATCCGAAGTATCCTTATTCAGATAGAAAACGGGTTTGTTGTGCTCATTCCTTTTTCCCGGCTGAGTAACAATTGATATAAAGAAAGACAGCATGGGGTATTAAAAGAGAGTTTCCCCCCACACACAGACAATAAGTAATTAAGGAAAAGTAGAAATATATGAATTCATGGACTATGGCTACGTGGCCTTGCTCCCACCCCCCTCCACTTTCGATGGATTTTTTTTTATAGACACTTCTCCGTAGGAGCCTGTATTTAAGGAACCTCTCAAGGCAATGAGGAAATTTGTTTCCTAATCATTTTCAGACCATCTTGTTCTCTTCCCTCCATGAAAATTTGCCAGTATACCTTTTTTTTTTTTTTGGCAATTTTATTGTCTCGGATGTTGCTTGCAAATATTAATATCCAGGTTCATGTGCGATATAATCATTCAGACATTTGATACTAGGCCATGCCATGGACCTGTAACTGATGAGGCACTACCTGTTTCCCCCCCCCCCGGAAACAGCTCCCCCTTTTTCATTATTTCTTCTCATTTAGGATTAAAGAAAAAAATCTCTCTCACTGCTATGCTATTACAGTTCAAACCCTATTCTATTAGATTATGCTTTACTCATGTGTACACAGAGTTCATGAAAATTGAACTGTGCTTTAACTAAGAAAGCAAGCATAATTTGTGGCTACTTTAGCAGCCGAGTTGATTTGTTCAGGGGCAGTTAACAGCCGTTAGAAATTGAGAGGAAAAGTGGAAGATATGTTTGCTCTGGATTTTTTTTTTTATGTGCCTCTCAATTACTCTGTGAGGGAGAGAGTCTTCTTATTTGAATTTTAGACCCTCCAGGTGACCAAAGTAGTTTTGATTTTTGTGGCCTCTTACATAAAAATGTGTTTCAGGTTTTTCTTCTTCTGCCTCTGCTCTGTAATTTCTTTTTTTATACTAAGACTTTGCTGCAGCAGCTCGCTCAGGGCTGCTTGCACTGGGAGCGGAAGGTATGGGAAGCAGAGCAGCTAATACCGTCAGCAGAGCCCCACCCAGCTAATTGCCTGACAGACTTCAAAAAAAAAAAAAATCAGGAAGGAAAAACAGCCAATCACAATCTTGGCCTTTCACACAAGGGAAAGAGATCACAAAAGGTGCTTCCTTTTTTAAAAATGCAGGATTTTAATCATGTTCTTGAGACTGTCGCAAGTTTTTCAAAATATGCCTGAAGATGAGCGGATGTTATTTCATTCAGTCTGCTTTATTCACGGTGGATTCTGTGCAGGTATCATGTCACTGCGCCCCTCCTCCTTGTGTCAGGGAACACACAAAACAAGAGGAAGCTACCATGTGCCAGCTCAGCCCCTGTGGATGTATTCTGGGTGGGAATGGGAATGGGAGAGAGGAGAAAAAACAGGAGTATGAGACCAGAAAAGGCGATTTTAGACACAGGCATGTAGAGATGGGGCCCAGTAACCCATGGTTGCTTTACAAGTCAGCAGGTGCTTCCTTCAACAGCCTCAGAAAGCCACTGGAACTTTTCTGGAACTCTGGGAAGCATCTGTAGTCAGTGTGTACATGTCATTGTACGAAAATGATTACTGAGCTAGAGCACAAACTCACGGGGTAGGGAGGGCTTGCTGATATCACTAATTAACACACCTTTGCTTCGAACAGCGAAGATGCCATGCCAGCCCTTAGAAACTGGAGAGAAAATCCCAGATTCTGTATTCACTGTGCCGGCCTTTCAAAGCAATGATTGGTACAAGCCCCCCTCCCAAGAAAATGGATTTTTAACATGTGGTCCTCAGAGCCTCGGCCCTGAGAGTGCTTTATTGTGCTGGGTTTTACAATGGGTTTAATATAGCAGGGTGCCCACGGGCAGGAGGGGAAGAAGTTTACAACGTGGATAAAGGAGGTCCTTTCAGGATGCAGATCCAAATGGGCCGGGTGTTTTATTTCAGCTCTTAGGACTTTGCCGACAGAGCTCGGTATTTTAATCATGTGGTTGTTCTATGTTTGTATGCCTTTTTCTGTTGTAACTAGATCTAATTTTTTGTTAATTAAGGGGAAAAAGCATGCAGAAAGCCTTAAAATTGGCGATGTGTTTTTTCCCTGCTTTTAATACTAATGCTGCTCTTGATTTGCTAACAGAGCTTACAATAGGCATCTGTTGTAATCTGTTGGACTAAGTGAGCTTAATATGAATGCATTTTTTTCTCATTTGTATGCCCACCTTCTGTAAAAATAACTCACTGACTCACATACCATTGATGCATAGAGATAGAAACAAACTTATTTCAAAATGACTGTTTACATCTTTCCCTTAAAATTTTAGGAAGCCTAAATTATATAGCAGTTGCAGGATATGATCCAAAAATTATTTTCTAAAAAGTAAAAGTGGATGTCAACAAAAAAAAGAGGGGGAGAGACATTCCCAGAAGCCAGAAAATCTCTAAGCAAAGCTGCTAATTATTCTTAATGGGCAAGATGAGCACATTAAGAAACAAATGAATACATCAGTGAAATGTAATTGAAAATCGACCTGGCAATTGCACATCACATCTGAGTATTGGCCTGTAGATTATTTTAATCATTAAAAAATAATTTTGTTGTTCTTGGCTTCTAAATTTAGTGAACGCAGCTACGTCTTACTTCCTAAGTCTCAAGCTTCTAAGATTCTGAATTTTACTTTTTTTAAAGCACTAACGGACATTTCCTTTTAATCTTCAGTTATTCTTTTTAATAGGCGAGGCAACAAGTAGATGAGTTCTGAATCTATGGCACACCACTTGTGAGGTTATTTATCACTTCTCTAAAATGTATCAAATGGACTGGCTCTGTCTCCTCGAGCCCTCTATCTTGACCCTGGAAAGCTAGATGTTGACCTGAAATTTATTAAACAGAGGTATCTGAAAAGAGATTAAGACTCAAGGCAAAAATGAGTTTTGCAAGTCCTGAGTATTTTCTCCAACTCCTGGGGCGGTTCTCTGAGCTGCACTCCTGGGGTGAGTCTGGCACACAGCCTCACCACCCCACCCCCACCCCCACCGACCTGAAAGCTAGCCCACCCTCCTTATGTCATTTTATCTGCACCCTGGAGAACAAAAGAGAAATTGCAAATGGGTCCACCTGATGCAGCCAGTTCTAAAGTCTAATCTAAAAATAGTATGAAATGCATTCCTTTCTAACCCCTCACCCCACCAACACTGGCATTTTAGTGTAGTAAACAAAGTGATAATAAGGTGTGTAGCTAGAGATAGCAATTACCAAAGGAGGGAGAGAGATGGTATGCTGAGTTGTTGATGCTACACGCCTTCCACATCACAATGAATAGAACATGCCAAGGTGGGCAACCCTCTGTGGCTTCACTCTCTCATCTGTCCGGTATGAGCACCTTGCCTAGAGCCATCCTCTTAAAGGCATGACATGTTATCCACAGCATATACCAATGCTTGGTGAGCCATTTCTCTTTCTGTACTGTTGACTGAAGATCTTGTCCCTTTGGTGCATACATGGCCTCATCATGATCTTGAGCCTGGGATTTTTCCAAAAGCTGGTAAATCTTCTGTCCTAGTTATATAGTAATTGATTTAACAGAATTCCTGACTTGAGTACCTGACAAATGGAGGTGCCTGTGGCCCATTCGGCCTATGTTGACTATAGAAGGGTTTGGGAGTCCCAAGTCCCTTCCTCTACTAGCCATGAGCTATGACTCTACTAGATGAGTCACAAGTGAAGTCTGTGATCCTCATTGGGTAAGACCCCCAACAAATACCTTTGTGAACCAAGTTTAAGTCAATCTAACCATCATTGACTATATGGCACTTCAGGCAAATAAAAATCCAGCAATGGACCAGGCAGACCTAGGCTCTTTTCTTATGAGCCATGGATTATGCCTAGATGAGAGGGAATTTATACACGAGAAAGAAACTGAGAAACTGCCAAGCAATTCTTGCAGTCCTTGCAGTTGTTTTGGTTCTATGGTGTAAATGTTCACATAATTAGGTCCAAGGAGCTGGGAAAGAAAGTTTATTTTAGTTACTGTCACAAGCCTCATTTTACCAGAGCATTTCCCAGGATTATTCCCAAATGATAATGAATTGACATGAGTGAGTCTCCAGTATGGTTTGGACCTAGCATACATTATGCTTCATTAAGCCTGGACTAATGAATATGTGCCTTTAAGAATGTTTGTAGGAACTGATGTTACAGTGTAGTAGGTAAAGCTGATGCCTATAAAGTCAACATCCCATATAGGTACCAATTAATGTCCTGGCTGCTCTACTTCTAACTCAGCTCCTTGCTAAAGGCCTGGGAAAAGCAGAAGATGATCCGAGCATTTGGGTCCCTGCCACCCACATGGAAGACTCGATATAGCTGCTGGCTCCTGGCTCCCACTTCGCTCAGCCCTATCTGTTGCAGCCATTTGGGTAGTGAATTATTGGATGGAAGATCCTCTCTCTGTCTCTCCCTCTCTCTCTCTCTAATGGTGACTTTTAAAATAGTATTTTAAAAAATAATTTTTTAGCTTTAAGATAGCAAATAGCAAAGACCACATCAAGCATTTTACAAAAGCCTTCAGATCAAAAATGAAAATAATTTATGTTGTAACTTCGGTTTCCTATCCTCAGTTAATGAAAGTAAGCATAATATAAACCAAGAAAAGTAATGCTTTGTGAATCACACATGTTATTTTTGCTACAAACATTTCCTTGTTATAAGAACCATGCCAACTCTCAAAATGTGTGAATAACTCTTAATAAACATGATCTCTGATAGGGGACTGGTATTTTGATAATCTTATCTGAGGGTTTCAAAAAGTTCATGGAAAATGAAATTAAAAGATAGACTTTCCACCAATTTTTTGAGCCCTCATATATATATATGTATGTATCTATATATCTTTCTTTATATATATCTATAGTATATATGCTGAAACACGGTCATTGCTATGATGTAAGAACACATCTTTTAAGAATAAAAGCCAATGGAAACGAAACTAAAACGGTGCCCCACTCCTAATCTATACCTTGCTTAAGAAGGAAATCTAGATAGAAGTGGGATTTCCTTTTAGCCAAAAGCATACTATCTGGAGTTCTGGAAGTCTAGTTTTCAGACAAGAGGATTGGAGGTGATTGTCCTGGATCCATTTAATCAGAAATCACATTAAAGTGTACCCTGTGCTCAGCCCCTCCCACTGAAGTCTTCCAGAAGGTGGGTACAGGTCAGAGAACACAATTTGGCTTGTGGTGTTGAACACTATCCTGGACATATTGACTCGATTTGATTGGATTTCCTTTATTACCCTGAGGTGACACAGAAGAATGATAAGATCTGTTATTGGACACAGTGCCATCCAGAAGAGCCATCAGCATCTGACCTTAAGTAAAAGGAGAGGGTGGAGCAGAGTATCAGAAGGTACCTCTTATAGGAAGAGCTTAAAATTGCTATTTTCGTTTTTTCCTCTTTGAACTGATTTTAATACTAAGAAAAAATTTTAAAAGCCCACAAATATATTTCCTTCCCAGTTTTAAAAATAAAGCAACCTAAAAGCTGCTGGGATTTTTTTTTCTTATTTAAAAAATTGCTTCTAGGATATAAATGCATGTGCACGCTTCAGCCTGGCCACCTGTAGTCACAGGTTTATAAATTGTATAAAAGTATATAGTGTTAAGATGTTTACTAAAAATTATTAATAGGTTTTCTGAGTTATATAATTTAACTTCCCTGTGACTGTTTTATAAAAAAGTATTACCTCCACTAACAAAATCATATGTTTTGCTTGACAGATTAGTCATGTACTCATACGACGCTACAGGTGTACCAGGCGCTTTCTGAAGTGTAGTTGGATGCCATAGCAACGCCGAGTAGGGTGTGTCCAGAGTGCGGGGGAGCTTCCTCCTAAACAGTTGTCATTTGACTCTTTGCTCATTCTGTTCTTCTCAGAATAAAGATGTCAGCTGTCCTCTTCAAGACATCTCATTTAGAAGACTTTTCCTGAAATACTTTCTTCCTGAAATAGACAGAGCTGTAGGCCGATGTGTCATTTTAGTTAATCAAAACAAGCAGGCAAATTAGTCTCTTTTATTTTTTTTTAATGAATGTAATTTCACGGTATTTAATTTGCATACAGGAAAGTTCACTCAGAAAAAAAAAAGTCTGCATTATAGCACTTTTGTAAACCTTCACAAAGCACTTCGTTAGGGGACCTAATTGATTTGGCCTACCCACTCCCAGGGGAGGAAAGCTATCACAGTACCTGCTTATTCACTCTAAGAAGGAAAGGGTGTGCCTGGTGATTGAAGCAGAGATTTGGGTTAAAAAGTCCTGTGGCTGTGCTCTTGCAGGGAGATCACGGCCAACGCTTGCTTGGAGCATTCAGAAAATCTGTTTTTCCAAGCCATAGGGGAGCATCGCATGTCTGCTTGGTGTCCTCCGCATGGGCCCAATTTAGTCCAGCTTGCAACCTTCTCTGGCATTATTTCATTTCTTGTTTATTCAAACCTGCCTTCTTCCAAAAGAGGGGCTTTGAGGCTTCTTATGGTGACACAGAGTAGTCCATATGAAAGAAATGAGAAGGGAGAGGGCAGCAATTGGAAATTAAAAAGCCAAAAGGATATTGATGGAGCCAGTTCAGGAAATATATGCCAATGGGATATGGCGTAGGGTTGTTAGAGTGAGATCATACATTTGGCTCTGAGTTACACAAAGGCCAGAGCAAAGAGAGGGAAAAGAACAGTTACAAGATGCATAGTATGCAGAAGTTAAAGAAACCAGCTGCTCTGAAACCCATCCTTCCTGAAACCTAACTTGGCTCTCCCTGGGGCACCCGCTTAGCTCAGGTGCAGGGTGATATAATGAACTCATGTCTCCATACCTCACTTCCCTAAACTTGTCTCCTTTGGACAAGACCAGCAGATGGCTTAAGGCCACAACCTAAGTCTATTAAGACAGTTTTTTTGACAGTTTTTTGAAGGAACTTAAACTGGATTCACTTTCTTCTTCAGTAATTCATTTTCTCTCCCAGCTTGTGCATACTTTTGTCCATATTTGTCTTTTCACGTCCCTCAAAGTCTTTCGCTGCTGTGCACCCTCCACCCTCCTCCCTAACAGCATTTAGGAAAGTCTCAGAAGATTGACATGGCCCTCCTCATTGACAGAAAGAGGCACACCTTTGGGCTCTGAGCTCTTCTACGCAAGTGGAGCATGGCACCCATGGGGCACCCATACCTCAGGACCTTGCCAAGGTGCTTTCCAGATGTCTGTTTCCCAGGTGGATTAAAAGAGCCCAGGGGATTAAAAGAGCTTGCTTGGGGGAAGTTGGCATTTGGTGGGTTGAGTTGAAACCATACCTTTGACCTACCTCACACCCTACAGCTCAGGTCTCTTCATTACAACTGTCGCATATAAAATAAGATCACTGTGACAGTGAGCTGTTTTTCTTGCCTTTTTCTTTAGTCAGTTGACAATCACTGTTGGAGCTTGCTTAACTGTGTCCTATAGATGTAAGAGACATCATCGCAAGAAATCAGAAGGCTGGTGTGTTTAAAACCCAGAAGATATCAAGCTGGTAAGATGCACATACTCCAGGCGAAATGCTTTTTCTTGATACTGTGGGTTATTGAAAGTTACAATCACTAACATTCACCGAGTACATTCAATATCAGGTGCTGTTCCATGCCTTTGACGAGACTGTCTTGCAATGTGCATTTATCACATTTAATGCGCATGAGGTAAACAGATACTCTCCTTATTTCCAATTACTAGGTGAAGAAAGTTGAAGGTAAGTATGCTCAACAGAGTTGGGGATCACTTCAGAGTTGAGATTGTACAATATGAATGTGGGAGAACCTGGCACCCTCCTAATAGGCTCTAATTCCAGCAATTCTCCAGCTGGGATCACTTCTGCCCCTCATTCCCAGAGGACTTTGGACACTCTCTGGATATGTTTTCTGTTGTCTTGATTTGATGGAGGAGGAATGGGGTAGATGGAAAGGGTGCTGCCTCTGGCCTCTGCTAGGTATAGAACAGGGATGCTGCTCAACATGGTACCAGGAGGAAGCTTCTGGCCCCCAGTGTCATAATGCTGAGGACCTGAGATTGGGAAACCCTGCTCTATTCCATGATTGCTAGAGAATCAGGTGTCCATTCCCCTTTAGATCCTGATCACTCTTACCAAAACTAGGAGAGATGCCTGGCCTCCACCATGACAGTAGTGCGTTTTGTGACCTTACTGTTTCGTTTTGTCCTGTTGGTAATGAATGTTCAGGAAGAAGTGTTCATTTAATTATTTTCATGTGAAATATCTGTATGTGTGCTTTTTTCCTATATGCATTCTACCCTGGACTTGATTAGAAGACTTCTATTGTTGAATTATTTTATTTATTACCATTAATCGGTCATCCTGTAATATTTGTAGTCTTTCTTATGCTAAAGATAACATGCTTTTCTGCCCCATCTGCTCAGTTTTGGGGGAAAAAAGTGGGTTAAACAGCTATAGTGTTTAGAACCCAATGTAATTGTTCTATTGGCATTATGAGTAGCTGCGATTTTTTCTCTCTTCTCTTATTTGGTATTGCCGAGTGTCTGTGTATGTGTTTGTAAATCCCATATTAGCATGTTCAAAGAAGGCAGAGGGCAAAAGGAGCAGGATATTCTGCACTGCTTGCATAAATAAACAAACCTGTTTGCCAGTAAAACTCAGGCAGGTCCAGGGAAAGGGAGTGCTTGTCTGCCATTACCTGTGCATCTTGCACTGGTGGGGTGGCTTTTCCTCCTCAGCGCAGACGCCCCACCCCTCCAGAGAGTGCCTCATTTTGGGGCAGGATTTCCAGGCCGGTCTTTTAGTTATCAATCAAAAGTGCATTTGCTATGTTGTCCTCATTTACATTTATTTAATGCTTAAGGTCATTTGTGACCATTTGAGTGTATTTCAGCATATGGAATCAGGGAATAATAGATTTCAGCTTCACGCTGTGAAGAGAGATTGTGTTTCTACAAGACATAATGTTGTTTACTGGGTGTTAATAATCACTAATTAATAAACATATCTAGACTTCTAAAATGTTGCATTTGGAGGAATAAAAATGTCAAGTGTTTAACTGATGGAGTGCAATAGTATTTTCTAGCATCTCTTCATAAAATAATTAAGCTACATCAAGAAGCAAAATGGCATTGTTCAGCACAGGCATAGCCCAAATGCTGAACACATAGCTTTTGTTTCTATTTCTCTTTTCTCAAAAATGCCATTTCTGAATGTGTTGTTTTAGTATGTACCTTCCCATCAAGTCTGTCTCAATACTCATGCAGGAAACTCCAAGATGAGGGATTTTGTGTTGGTTTTTCTTTCTTTCTTTTTTTTTTTCATTTTTATCTCATGCTAATCACAGTCAGCTTCTTCTCTTTCAACCATGGCAGGCATTCTGTCCAAAGTCTGCTAAAGCACTTGCCAGATAACAGGTGGATGTGTCAGTCCTTGAGATGTCTTGATCTTCTATTAAGGTGCTACTTGACCACTTAACCTGCAAGCAGCTGAAAGAACCTGCCAACCGAGGATGTCATAATCAGCACTGCCTTCTAGCCACTTCTTTCCCACCCACAGCCAGCACAATATGAGGAAAGTATTAGTTCCATGAGAGAAGAAATAAAAAGAACCCATTCACAAAAGAGCTAAGATATAGTTCAATATTCCCTTTTAGTGCCTCAATGCCTATGCAGAATTTCTCCTCCAAATTGGAGGTGTGGAATAACAGTAGCGACAGATAACTAAGAAGTATTTACCATAGCTACAAAGCCCACACGTGAGCCAAATATTTCTGCTATTAAAAAGCACTTCAAAGCTTGACATGAAGTTTCTCACAGCTGAATGTCTCTTGTGACTTCATTTGCAAAGATGTAAAAGCTGAAAGGAAAGTCGTGATATGAGAACCGTACGCCAAAAGGAAAAAAAAAAAAGATTTTTTAAAAAAGGAACAAGAAACTGTCCGGAAATTTGACTGGCACCCCAAGCCCCTGCCTCCCTTGGCTGGGCAGTGTTCTTGGTGACTCTGGCATTGGTCCTGCAACAACCACTCCCACGCCTTAAACTTGTTTTGAGGGCCCTCCATAGGAGATGAGTTCAATTAGATCGTACTCTGATTAGGTTTCAGAGAAAGATGTGGCTGTATGAACCTGCTACTGACGTTCCTTAGGAGAGGGCCAGCCAGGTGATGGGCTCTGACACTCGAGCTTCCGTAACTTGCTGGTAAATCCACCTCACTCTCTTCAACACTGCCATACCTGCCAGAGCAACTTCTTTTAAACACCACCTTTTCTTGCCACCTGAGCCATCCTCGTCCCAGTCTCATGTTGGCTAAATATGCAAGATGTGCTTGTGTGACAGACTGAAAGCCTGAGTCCTGGCCAGGTTTAGGGGCCCTCGCTGAAGCAAGATCTCACTGCAGTCATTTAATGGTTCATTCATTACACCATCTGGGCAGCCATCCATTCATTTAGCAAACAAGTCCCAAGTAATCGCCTTTGAGAACACAGAGTTACTGAAAGTCAATCTTTAACAAAGGAAACCATGCTACTAAATATAGCTAGAAATTAATGAAATAGCAAAGATATTTACAGCATCTCAATTGTTAGGTTTATCCGAAGCTGTCTTTCTAATTGTGACTGTCTCACAAAGAACCAATTGGAGCTTTTGACGGCTTATATATTTCTTCTAGGTCTACCAGAATTAGTGAATAGCATCATTTTCTGGTTAGCAGTGGTTGAAAGTTATTATTTTTTTAAAAATCTGTTAAATTTACCCTTCTGTAATATTAAAAATGAGTATCATTTAGGAAGACTTATTATGTAATAGTTGCTTCTGAATTTAGGGTTGTGAATTTTATTACTCTTTGGTAAACCATGAATTTGTAGTAAACTACAGAACTTGTTTTAAAAGGGCTTTTCCTGTATCCTAGATTTTATTTTTGTGTGGATCCCCAAGATGGGCTGTTGGTTCTCTTGCCATATTGTCCTTTAAAATTTATGCCTTTGCTGAGGGTCACTTTCCTTTGGAGTTGAAATTAGGTATGCAGGAAAAATGTTTAAATGTTCATTGCAACAGACAAGGGTCCAATTGCCGGTTTTTCCAGGCCCTCTGCCATCTGCCCTCACTCTGGTCATCCTATCTTGCCTCTAGAGTTCTCCAACCTCCCCTTTCTGCTTCTGTCATCCATCCCATGCCCCTCCAACCCATTTGTCTTTCTCTCCTGTAGTCTTGGCCAGTCTTGCTCTCTTCCTGTTTGTCCTTCTAAATCTGATAAGTCAACTACCATTTCCTGCTTTCTCAGATTATTTCATTCTACCCTAATCTTTTCTTCCTTTCAACTTGTGCTGCACTTAATAGTACCATAGTTTAATATGGCATATTCTCTTAGTGTACAAAGCAAATTGGCTTTGTTTCCATGTCTCTTGGTTCATTCATTTGTTAACCAGTGTGTATGTGTTTGTTTTTTTTTTAACATTTATTTTTATTTGAAAGGCACATTTACAGAGAAAAGCAGAGACAGAGCAAGATCTTCCATCTGCTGGTTCAGTCACCAGATGGTTGTAATGACCAGAGCTGAGCCAGTCTGAAGCCAGGAGCTGCCTCCACGAATGCATAAGTTCAGGGGTACGAGGACTTCAGCCATCCTCCCCTGCTTTCCCAAGCCATAAGTAGAAAGCTGGATCATAAGTGGAGTGTCCAGAACATGAATAGTTGCCCACATGGGTTGCTGGCACTTGTAGGTGGAGAATTAGCCTGTTGAGTCACCACCCCAGCCCTGTTGATCAGTATTTTTTTTTTTAGACTATTAAAGTCCTTTATTAACAGGTGCCTGCAGTTTATTGACTTTCTTGAAAAAATCAAAGTTGTAAACTTTTTTTACAAATTAAAAATGAAGTTCTTTAAAAACTTCAGCTTGACCAGATATGAAACAATTTAAAAATCTTTAAAGGTATATTGCGAAAAAACAGGCTTTAAAAAAAAGTTTGTCATTACTAAATGAGACATCTTTAGGTAAAAATAATAAAATCCTCGTGCTGCATAAACAATACAGATAGTTCTAGTAATGTGGTCAACAGGGAAAAGGCAAGCACTTCAACTCCAATCTTCTGTTCATTTTTTATTGCTGGAATTTCATATTCATTTCTTCTTGGATGATTAACTCAGAGATGGTTGAGATGTTTAGCCAGCATTTTTTACTCATCCCTGCCCTGTTCAGCCTTGGGAGCCGCTGAATTCTCAGCTGGTAGATTGGCTGCTTTTGTCTGTGCCATCTTGTGGCTTAGGATTATCTGGGCGTCTGTAATTGAACTTGGGCGGTACCGAGTTGAGGTGGCTGCAGACCCTGTTTTTCATCTCTTTGATTTTCCTGATCCTCTTCATTGCCGTCCTCTCTAGGCTGTCTTTGGCAAGGAGGCCCTCTGCGGAATCGTAGTCTATAACCTCAACGCATGTTCGGTCTCACAGGTCTACCTTGCTCTCCTGCACCCTGGTTGGTGAGCACCTTGCATCACTTCTCCCTGCACAGGAGGGTTAGAATACTATGGTTA